ACAATAGGGGGGTCAAAAAAGAAAGGTACGTTGGATGCTCTAGGTAGTTACTCCTACTCAATGTTAGACATACTAGTCTTTAAGCCTGCATGCTGCAAAGGACTTATGCACAATCGTTTGTCGATGTTGTTTGGCCCTGACTCACTGCGCTTCTCGCCCAAGGTGTTCTTCTTGTTATTCTTTGGAACCTTGGCAGCCAATGATGCACAAGTATTATTATATACATATTCTTACTCGAGCTACAGTGTTTATGCAATTTTTCAGGCGGAAGCACCAAGATCTTGCTGAAGTCCGCTCCCCAGAAGTTGTGAAGTACACAAAACTCTCAGCGGGCAACGCTCTGAAAACCGAACAAACAATGTATTTTGGACAACACTCTCTTGGGGATTGGGGATTTGGAGCCAAGAGTCTTGCAGGGGCACTGCTTTCGATCGAGAAACGCCCCTTTTTGCTTGCCCCAATGGCTATTGGATGCTGCTCAGTGGAAGCCATGGGTTGCCAAATTGAAGCCCCTGTAAGACTTAGATATTGCCTTTTGAACCGCTGTCACGTTCTGCATTATTGCTTGGCATATCCTGGCGTGGTTGCCAAAAAACTCTCAGAGAAGTGATGTTCCACATAAGTAACGTTCTTCCGTCAGCCCGGCTGTTTGCAATTTTAACCGTCAGGTGGCTGAAGATCCCCATGGAAGGCAGGGCTGATGAAAATTCCTGCGGTTTCACCGCTTCCATTTCGGAGGTTGCCGCTACCGAGACCGTGTTAGGACAGGTAAGCAGACGTGGGTGTGTTTTCAAATTGGGAGTTCGACCACTTGGAAGAAGGGAAACACACAAAAACCCATTGGTTGGGGGTCTCAATGTGCACCTATTTAAACTGCCCTCATATGACACCAAAGCGTTTGTGCTTGAAATTGGTCCGTGGGAGGTTCAGCTGAGCCTTTGTATGTTCATCATGGACGCTTCTGGAAGGGCATGCACGTGGTGCGCGATCGGGCCGGGTGCTTAAGCAAGTCGTTGGGGCAGAAGAAGTGTTTTCAAGCGCCAGGCTGAAGATGTTAGCAGTTGGGTGGCCCTGGCACCATTGGCAAGTGTGGCAAACTAGGCTTGTAAATGTGTTCTGTTGATTTATAAGAGAGGAGCGTCAAGCTGTGTTTGGGGCAACTTTGAGACTTGAAGTTTTGTCAGCAACTTAGCTCATGTTTCTGGTGGGTGGCAACCTCCAGAGGCTGCATCTCATTTTGTTCGACAATGCAACCTATATGGTATATACAGTGTTTGTTTCATGTTTTTGTGTGTTGCACATATCCCTCCGCAAACTAACACGAAACCTGAGAATTAACCCGCTGGAAGACATCTCATCTACAGTTTTCAGGGTTCATGTTATTAATTTGCTGAAGGTATATATGTTTGGCATCTCTTTGTGTGATGCCAGTAGTGCATATTAGGTAATGTTGCACTTCTTGCATCATGCACCATTGATTTTATTCGCGCTTTCGGCGCGTTCCCTATGTTTAGCCGCTAGGTGTGCTTTGCAACTCACAAAGGGTAATTTGATTGCAAGTGATAATTGTTTTGTTGATAAACGCACGTTTCTTCCAAACACCGAGGTCCTAAGGCGGCTATTGATGTTAAACGATGATGAGAAGGAGAAACTTGGCAGCAAGAACGACAGCATGTTTGTCCCATGCGCCCCCACTGTTTTAATCTGGAAATGTTTTGCAGGCTGGTCGCTTTGATCACTTAATCAGACATATTCGTTTTCATCATCAGGTTTCATGGACTTAAACAGGCATGTGGATCACGTGGTAGCGATAGGCATGAGACCTTGGAACGGTCGATGGTTTGGAAGCACAACCACGACCTCAGGGACTTCGAGGTCCAACGACAATTACCCAGACGCGACTGGAGTGCCATAAAGGCAAGCTGATACCGAATCACCCTTGACAATGGAGAACTTCATAGACAGCACTGAGTAAGATGGGGAATCCTTGCATGCCGTGCACGAAGTCATCCCCACTCTGCAGGTCAAGCACTCTTCCTCATATCTTGGTGTCTTGGCAAGGTGTGATTTTTTCCCGAATGCGCGAGGGTTCACCGTTGGCCGGGTCCTTGTTTGGATAGTTGCTACTTGTCATCCACTCAAGTGATGCAATGTTGTAATCTCTGCACTGATTGGCATATATTGGTAGCCTTGCAATGATGATTGGAAGTTCTCTTTCTTGTTGGCACTTGTTTCCAGGCTCCTCGATCGACTCAATCCCTGAAACCCTCCTTTGAATGCTGCACAATGAGCTAGAAGGCGAGACGGCGTTTAAAGTCTTTAAATTCTAAACAGACTTCCACTGCGAAATGCATATAATGCGCCAAACCCACGACCCTACATATTACGGCTTCCAAGAGCATTGGTGGTTATTTCTTTCCAATGAAAGTCTAGTATGTATATAGATACTATGTAGCCATCCATTGGTGACCTAGTCTCTAGGAACACTCCTTGGTCACCAATGGGGACGCGCCATTATATACCTAGAGATTTGCCACCAAATGTGACAGTCTAGAGATTGGTATTGGGCTTGATTAGCAACCCCTTGACAGTCGACATGGCCGACCTCCCTCCACTCACTTCAAGGCCGACCTCGCGGTGGTCGAGCGTGCTCTCTCCACGGTCGGGGCACAGAGGGACAGTTCACCAGAGCAGACTGCCAGGCTTAGCTTGGATTGGAGGGCCAGAGGTGAGTTGTTAGGCTTGGGTGAGGCAGGAGGCAGGATCACAGGTCATATCATGGCATTTATCACATCGTAGCCCAGACTGACTGGCAGACTGACTAAATGCTGGAAGATCATGTTTTGAGACACAGAATTGCCGCCACATGCCTCAAGCATATGTGTGAAATGTCCACTGTGTTGATCATGAGAGAAGCATGTTGCATGGCATGAAACAAATGCAGAGCGTGGAGCTCAAAAGGAGCGCAATTGAACCTCAGGGGTCGGCCTGTCGAACCCTCGTCGGCCGCTTCCGATGCAAGACGATCAAGCGACACCTGGACGGGGGAGATGTTTATCTCAAGGACAGTTTCTCAAGCCACACCTGCCGCAAATCATCACAAAGTGCTGAAGAATTACCTCCACTTTGTCCCAAGCCCCTCATCAAGCCCATCCACTTTCCAATCTCCGGCCTCAGGCCACCTTGCCGGAGGTGCCCCCGGGCGCCGCGGTCTCCATCGCCTCGCGCCGGGGGTCTGCACCTGGGGCAGCAACTGGGAAGATGGCGAACCAGCAAGCCTCGAAGACAGACAAGTGGACAAGGAAAGACATCAAGAGAAACAGAACTGACGAAACGTTTTGTCAAGCACAGGACCTGACATGGACTGAGTCAAGGTGTCACAGCTTCCCAATTCTTCCCGTTCCAGCATGATCATGACTTCTCCCCAAAAAGAGATCACCTCTGGTGGAATGATCTCATCTTAGGATCTCTTGGAACGTTCCAACATCACTCAGCGCCGCCCGCCCGGAGCACAAATGGTCAGCCTCTTTGGCACCCGGGCAGCAAGACCTACGCCGAAGGGATTGGGATACACTGACGCGTTTCCGCCGGCGAAGCACGGCCCACCCAAGGGTTTTGCACCAAGATATTGGAAAGGTCCCCCCAAAAAAGAATTTTGTATGATTTTGTCAAGAACGGTATTTCCAGTTGAAATTGGTCGACAAAAACGTGTCTTCACGGCGGCTCGCATTTTGGAGGCCGGGCCTGAAAGTATATGGTACTTGCGCCACCTATATTCTCAATGTGTAGGAGTGTGTCTCGCATACGCACGTATAAGTGTTACCACATTAGGCCACCCCACAAGGACGCTACGATCGGGGCTCCTGGCATCGCTACGAACGGAGCGTTCGGACGCTACGAACGGGGCTCCTGGCCGTAGTTACTAGGGCTACTAGAGCAGGAAGCTATTTGCAGAGGATGTTTAATCGTGTTTTCAGTCTAACATGTGTAACACTTAAGATCACTCGATGAAATTGGTTGTAACACTCTGGGTTCCTCCACGTCGTTTGGAGCGGCTAGTAGTAGCTTCTTGCTACTATAGAAGTAATGCACTTGTCACAAACTGAAACGGTTCCAAACGAAGCAGTCCCACAGGTGTCCAAGACCCGATGCACATCGATGACGAGAGCGGGGATGAGAGTGCGGAGGAGGCCTTGCCTCCACGGCGTCCCGCGGCGCGGCGTCCGGCGCGGAAAAAAAGCAGCAACCGCTCCGAACTGATTCTGATGTTGAGATATTTGACCATTTGGGGTCATTTGTCCCAAAACTGCGGAGATCTAACGAAATCCCGAGATTGTTCTATATAGTCTATGCCATGCATGCTTATGCTACAGATATTTGGACCTATATATGGATCCATCTCTTGCCAAGTCCTCCACTGCTTTGGTTTTGCATTCTGCTCCCCTTGCCACTTGGGTGTTTCCCAAAGTGACGCAAAAAATACTGTAGCCATACACAGTCCGACAAGAAACAATCATCAGCATGTTTGTAGAGGCCCTTGATGTGCCTTGAATTGAATATCAACTCTTATTCGCATACATCCGTGCGGCTGGCTGAGGTGCTGAGGTTGTTTTTTTTTTCCTCCTCTTTGCTGCATGAATGTCCGACCTTCATTCGTGCCATGTCCTGCATTCGTACATCATGTAGGTACTGACCTGCAGACTCGGGATGGACACTCACCCTATTCATTTACAAAACATAACAATATCATCAAATGTTCTTGGGTGGGGGTAGAGCCCAAAGCATTTGCAACTTTATTTGGGCTCTCCAAAGTTGATTCTGGCGAGAACTCGGGCTGCGGGGCATCAGCCAAGACCCATCCAGTGGAGATCTCGATGTCTTTGGATCCATGGATCTTGGCTACAACCAGGATAACAACAGAATTCAGAACTGAAGAAAGTAACGGCTTGCAATAGATGAGTATGATTTCGGTCTGATTTGTTCCTGTTGGGCCTGCTGTTCTTCGTTTGTCCCTCCAGGAGAGTGAGTCTGATAGCGGATAGCGCTGGCTGTCCAAGGCAAAGCGCCTGGGCGGCGCTATCAGTGACATCAGACCTGTGTCGATCAGTGAAAACGAGATCAGGTGCTATATCAGTGTTTTCCAAATCTGCCCAGATCGAATGAACACTCGTAGATCTATGGGTTCGTAGAAGGTGCATCCCCCACTGAAAGACAGCCTGTCATGTGGAGATGATTCAAAAGGGTCACTGTCGAGGCCGAAGTAATAAGTACAGTACTACACTACACCCTACGTACCGACGTACCATGGTCGTGACCCAGGAACATGTGATTCCCTCACATCTTTGCTTGTTGTGAATCTACACTCAGAATGACAAAGTCGTTGCTGACGTGTTTCCAGATTGCACAGGTCATATAGCTTATGCAATACGTTTCGCTTGTCCTTTTGCGTTCGGCAAAAATAGCGGAGACTGCGGCAAGAATCCTCTCGAGGGGCGAGTAGCTGCGCGCTCGTGACACCTCTTGGTGAGCCAAGCCGTCGCTAAGAGGTTGATGCAAAGAAGCATGTTTTCTCGATTCCAGGTCCTGGATGGCTGGTTCTTTGTAGAGGATGGGCGGGCATGGCTTTCAAGATCAGGCATATATATTAATTAACATATTAATATATATTTATATCGTCTGTTTGTGCCACGCTGACCCCTCAAGACTCAAGACAATAGAAAAGCATATTTAGAAAATTACGGAAAAGCTGACATGGGCCCTGGCTGGCATGGGCGTCAAAGGCCCTGACTATTCCATGCAAACATGTGGCTGGCATGGGGGGTCCCGAGATTGGCACGTGGCACCTGTTCTCCAGTTTGATATGTTCAGATCATTTTCCACAGTCAGACGTGTCCCAACTTGTGTCAAAAGTAGCATGTAATCAGCAGCTACTTGTAGAAAACCTTGAACAGCACCCGTCGATGCGTGCTTTGTTTGTTGGCAGCCTTGGGTCACGGTCACACCAAAGAATATGTCTTACTTTTTGTCTTTTCTGTGTTGTTCCCATGGTGCGGAGACCATGCAAGAGGCCCAAAGAGTGCCAGTGCCCCCGCACGTCGTGGTTTTCTGTGGTTCACATGTCCGAAACAAGCAGGTTCACCCATGAGCCTGAACATGAGAGGGGTGATCCATGCAATCCCATGTACGTCTTTGCCTAGTTACGTTTGGTGTCGATGTTTTTGTTGGGAGCAGATGCTGGTTTGGCTTTGCTTGGCCAGAAGTGGCCTGAAGCCTTAACAGGTGGCAGTCTGCAAGAGATGTCTCCAAATAGGGTGAATCATGCAGGTGCAGTGGCGTCTTCAAACAAGCAAGCAGACAGAACCACAATGAAACGCCGAAGACAACAAGACCGCAAAAGAAGCAACACACGTTCACAATGCAAGTTACATATAGGTCTGTTTTGCCCTGATTATCCCGAACTCAATCTGAATGAAAATTCATTGTGTTTTGACATGTCCTACTTGTGTGTTGTCGTTGCCCTGATTTCCCCCAGCCCGGGCTCCGAGGTTTGTGCTCGGAAGCTGCTCCATGACTGCCGGCGAAGTGGGGGAGGCTCATCACATCAGTGAGGAGACTAGGTTCGAAGGAACGTGTCCTGGTGCATGAGGGAGCACTCAGTTCTTGAAACACCAAGTAATATAAGTAATTATGTATGTATTGTATATAAGGGCTTGCCAGTCCTAAACTACAAGAGCACCCAGACTAACAAACTGGCACTTGTTCTTTCCAGAAATCAATTCTGGTGCCCCATGTCTGATACGAAGTTGAAACGTTTTCTACATCATGTGTCCTATAGTCCTAGCCTGGGGTGGCAACTCTGGATGTCAGTGTTGTGTTGGTGTCATTTTCAAGGTGTTCAAACCACGTGCTGCATAGATACGACCAGCAATTTCAGTTCCACCTGAGGAGCTGGGCCAGGGCTTTCTTCTCGTCATGGTAGATAAAAGGTATCATTGCCGCAGCATACAAGGCTTTCCACACATACTATATTATACTGTACTATTAATATCTATTAATGCATACCTAGATATATTTAGTACTATCAGCCTTTCAAAACCTGAAGTTCTCACCACCTCAGGCCCAAGTGGAGCACTGATGTCACAAGCCCGTTTGATACTGTAGATTGTATAGATATTCTCTATCCCAGTCCTGCCACCACACGGCCAGTTACTCCAGCGCTGGGGCCCAACCTTCGATGTGGCAGTCATAGGCCGGACGTCAAACGCTGCTTCTCCGCTGCTTGCGAGGAGGTGAGGCAGTGTGACAGAGACTTAAAGGAACCGTGTGGACTTCCAGATAGGTAGCTCCTTTGAGTCTCAGGCGTTGACAGCCAAGTGAGTTGTGTTGTTTTTCCCTTTTTGCATGGGTACAAGTTGCCAGCCTTGCATTTTGGTGCTGGAGGCTCAGTAGTGGGTGATGAGGGGACACCGATGGTCATGAGAGCGTGAGGCAGTGGTCATACTGGTGAGTGGTGTCCCAGCCAACATGTGCCTTATCGAATGTGTCGACTTGGCACTGCTGGATGCCTTGCAACACAGAACTCCATTCACATCGATTTGAAAGGGTCGCATGGGTCGGAGCAACTGAGAGTCAAGTCGAGTGTTCGCCCAATTTGTAGGTTCGCGCTTGTTTCGCGACGACGACGCGTTCGGGGGTCAGACTGCTGAGGCTGGGGGTCAGGGGGCTCAGAGCCGGCGCAAGTGGGATGGCGCTGAGAAGATTGTTGTGAGGTGGCAGGTGTGTGGCACGCACGGTGTCACGCCTACTTTGAGGCATAGCAACCCGCCTACTTTGATTACAACCCGACACTTGGGGTGTCCTTTTTGTTTGTCGTTTCGGTGGATCATTTCTGGTGCAATGGCTCACTTTTATCAGGGAAGTGAAAGCAGGATTGAAGGAGTTCTTTGCCTATGTCCTATGTTGTTGCTGCTGTGAAGCTGCTTCGATAGGGGCCACTGAACTAACTATCCCTCACCATCCATGTATGGAATAGTTGCAAGTTGCATGCATATTCCATATACCCCATTAAGACTGCCTAAAGCAGGTAACAATTATTCCATAGATGGTTTGGGTGTATGGTCAATCTCTCAGCGTCACACCGCTGAGGACCTTGTCCTCCATTCCCAGACTTCCAGGCTTGAGTGCAGAGGCGTGAATACTCGGCGAGATCGGCCCCAAAGCTCGGACGATCGGCTCCAAAGCTCCGAGTCTCTTTGTCAGGTGTCATTCGGGGATGTTTTTGTATATAGCGTTTGGCATACCAAAGGGGAGCTTGGAAATCAGCTCTAAATGTTGTTCTACTCGCCCAGATATAGCGAATCCCCTTTTTTGTTATCAGTATAGCAGGGGAATGTTCTCTCTGGCGATGGTCCGCTTTGGGGGATGATGTGTGTGCACGAGGCAAGGCAGGTGGAAGGGTATCAGGCCCTAGCCAGACATACTTCGTCACAGTTGATCGCATAGCTGATTTCGTTCTTCGCATCGCTGCGGATCCAGAATGATCCAGACATGCAAGTGGACACGTGATGGATGGGAGAGATCGTAGGTTTCTTTCCTTTTCGCTTGACCTTACAAGATAAAAGTACAAGCAAAACGATTTGACTGGTGGTTGTGACCACACTTGAACGAGGAGTTCTGTGACTGACTGAAGCCGAATTTCCCAAGGGTGATTCCTGACCAACAGTGACATCAGTCGCACATTCTTTCAAGTCGAAACGCGACAATGACATTCCTTCACGAACAATGACATCTTGCTGAGCAAGAACTCTTGAATTCACATTCCTTGGAGTCGACCTCGTGCGTTCCTTGACCAGGAGCTGCTCACACAGCTCAGTCGACTCGCGCGCTTCATCATGTGGCTTGGAGAAAGACGGGTCACCGACCCTCAAAGGAGACACCATTGCACCTGAAAGTCGACTTCCGTCGCATGGGTTTGGAAAAGGGGGCGCATGCCTGGCTTAGCCGCTAGCCCAGTGTGGCAGTTGTCTTCTAGGTTGGGTTTGGGGCTCGGGTATCAGCAGGTTTGTTGAGTTGGTTAAAATCTAGTGAATCAAGGCCTACACAAGCTCAGAACCATGAAGCCCCTTTCTCGACATGGAATCAACCTCCTGGTGATGGACTGGACGCCCGAAACAGATGGACATTATTGATATTGGGTTGACTTCCACCTTCTCTCGGTGTTAATCAAACGCGATTGTACTCACACCCATGTTGCCTCGGAGCAAAACATGGGAAGACGTGCAGCTTAACATGGCGTTTCCGATGCTCGACCCGCAGGAACGTGATGAGATGCCAAGAGCGATGGACCTTTGCAGTGGTTTCAGAATAGATGCCACAAACCCAAAAATGTTATATATATATATTATGTAGGTATACATATATATAGGGGGTATACATATATATATGTATATAGGGGTATACATATATATATACACGATATTTATAGCACCAAACTTGGGGATTGCGCCATCTACTCTGAAACCACTGTAGACGGCGATGGTGGGACGTGGTGAGGGTTGAAAGCGGAGGGTGTGAACCAAAGATGTAGGTTTGCTTTTGAACATTCTTGGAACTGCACCCTTTCGCCAAACAACGAGATCTTTTAAATGAGCCAAAACCCTGTTTATTTTCTACAATCCTGCACTGCCTGCACTGCACCACAAATGCTTCTGAATCGTGCAAACAAGATAGACCCACAGCTTCAGCCCCCTTCAAACATACAGTGAACAATCGTTCGGCTATCGATGGGCAGTGAGGAATGTGGTCTCCAGCACCAACAATCACGTACCTACCTTAGTTACCCCAGCTGTCTCAGCTGAACAGAGACAGCATCAGGCATGGGCAAAGACAAGGGATGTGTGATAGGAAGATGGTTGTTTTTTCATGTTTTTTCTTGATTGAGACCTCCTGCAGATTTGCCACTACGGCCTTGAGAGCCCTCGAATTCCAAAGACTGTACGACTTCAGCCTCAGTGTTTTGAGATGTTTTGAGGTCACCTTTTGAACTGATATTCGGATATTCGGTTGTGTTTGACTGTTTGACATTCAGCGCCGATTCCGAAAAACCAGTCTCCCGCTTCTGTAAGAACCCTTGGCTGTGTTTTCAAGAGCTCTCACATAAATCGGGTGGCATTAGTCTCGTCCCAAGTTTTATGAAGATGGAAGCCTCCACCAGGTACTGAGTTGAGTAGTATTGGAACTCATTGACATTTGCACCGTTTACCTTTTGTCTAGCTAAAATGACGCGAAGGGTCTACTGCTGATGATCTTTTTTCAGACAGAAGGGTGAGATGAGTCCAGTGCCTTTTGCTTGGTCATGTCCTGTTTGGTTGCAACGGTTAGGGTCTGTCCCATTACCTGAAACAGTCGGTAATCAAGTATTTTATTTTAAAGAAAGGAAGGCCCGTACTAACCATCATCATCCACCTTTAACTGGTAGTGGGATATACCCAATGTTTGGTATTTATGTTGGTTTTCCCTCCAAGGGTTCAACTGCCAGCCTTTGCCATTGGGGTCCCCACAAAACGGTCCCTGGTCCACAAGTCGAATATATTTTTGGAGAATGGCCCTTGCTGATGAGAGAAACTGACTTTCCAAACCTGCCGCGCAGCACTTGGACGGCGCAGTGGTCCTGCGGATGACCTTCTTCCCGTGATTCCCGGTCGTCCTGCCACCTTCGAAGCGTCACTTTTCAGGTGAAGTTTCAACGCAGGTACCAGGCAGGGCGTTTGTTTTGCCAACGGTCTCTTGGCATGTTTTTTGCCCTCAGGTGAGGGGAGAAATTGTTCATCCTTCTTGGCTTTGCAGCTGGCATTTTGGCGACTTTGCCCCATGCGCATGTAGAGACAAGCTCTTGCCCATCGGCTGGTCCTGTATCAAGAGTTTATCCTTTCTGGCTCAAACAAGGGCGGCAGATGCGACAGTGTTTAAAAACACGTCATTGAATGAGTCAGTGGAAAAAGCATTTCAACTAGTTAGTGGACCAACTGCCCGAACCTGCGACCTAAAGCGGCGCGCGCCCGAACCTACCCCGCACGGAAAAACCGCGTGGGCGCCCAGCTCGGTCGGAGACTGGACGCAGCAAGTTTCAGAGGTCAGACGAAGGTCAGACTTGACATCAGGAATTTACCCACACAAAGATCCAGTTGACATGGACTTGATCACTACAGTACGTACGTAGCAGCATGTAGCAGCATGCAGCAGCAACAGCAGCGCCTTTCATGACAACAAAGTTTCCTGGGAAGGTTCTAGTCGACCCACTAGAAGTCGTCCCGCTTTCTTCATGGTGTTTCTTTCCAACTTGTGCCTGCCACCACGCATCTTCATGGTGCTTCTTGCGCAGTTGTCTCAATACCAACTTGAGAGCAAAAGAGATGTGCTCACTAGAATAGCTAGGTGATGGTTTCGGATATTTTTATTTTCAACCCTTACTTGGGGATGATAGGACCCTCTGACTAATATTTTTCAAGTGGGTTGAAAACACCAACCAGATAGTCTTGCTTTGGCTTGTCCAAGAGCAGTCCCCGTTCATTGCAAAACGAACATGGGTGTTTTGACTAAATCATATTGACCCGTTGCATTGTACACCAGCTCAAAGGGTTTCATTTGGCTGCTAGTGTGCGACCCTGGCCACTTGTGATGTTTGTCAATGCATCCACTACACAAGATGCAACACACCGAACTTACTGACGCCACGCGCTGTGAAATGGTAGGGCAACACGATGTGTTTGCATGAAGAAGCTGCAAACCACGATTCAGCAAAGAAGGAAAAAGAGGAGACATCGAGACTTATCGAGACTTAGAAAATCGGACATCCAGAAGTCACAAATCGACCAGTCAGCGCTGTTCCACGTTGGAATCCTCAGCGCTGGCACCGTGTGAGTCTGAGGCGGTACAGCCACGTCTCACGATGGGTACGGCGCAGTCGTCCACCTGGGCTGGGGGGCCACAGATGAGTCGTATGGGATCTTCACGGAATCAAACTTGTGCATCCCGCTTTTTGGAAAGGTGTGGATCTGGCCAACTGGGCTTCCAAACACGGACCAACTCCTGGACTGATATCATCATGACGAAGTCACCAGTGAGAATTCCTTGGATTGAGTAATTCAGTGTGGTTGCTGAATTCTATGGCCTGCCTCACCACCGGAAGAGCACACATGTCGTACAAATTGGTTGAGTTTCTTCTAGTTAATTAGCCACGTTATGCCATGTTGTATGTCCTGTTCGGTTCTAACTATTCGGCAACATGCTTGTACAACCTGGGTGGTTCACACCTGACACTTTGCAAAAACAGATGGTTTTCCACTACCCCTCGTGCATTCTAGGGCCTAGATGGGCCTAGGATTTCTTACTCGGAGTGAATCATGGATAGCTTTGCCCCTGCTTGCTTGAACTCGGTATCCCAAAGCCGCCCAGGCGCCCTTCTCCCGGGTAGTGCCTTGGATTGCTTCTATCAGATCGGGGACGGCAGGTGGTCCGAGCGTTCGGCGTTCGGACTCCGATCAGAATGGGGAGTCTGTGTAATGAAGGTGGTATGCGTGACTCAGAAACCGGAACAGAACAGAGCTGGGGAGGCACTTAGAAGGACATGTTCCACATGTTCCATCACCTCCTTTGTAGTCGAACAGCTGTGTCCTGACGGAATTTAGAAGCTTTCTAGGCTTTGGTGATTCACAGTTGATTCAAGTTACGAACCTGACATGTTCTATCCAAACTTTTGCAGCAGGACAAGTACGTATGCGTATAATCATATACTATTTGGAATGAGGCGATAAAAGCATGACATATACGGACACCTTGGTCATCCTTGGTTCACGTGCGCACCTTTGCGGCCATGGCCGTGCCCCAGGCGGACCCAGAGAGTCAGCGGCAGAATCGGCCTCCGCACGAGCCGCGCCGGCTGTGTTGACAGCGCCACGCGCTGGAACAGACGAGTTGAGTGGTTCAGCAATGCATGATCATGTCTATGGGAGAGATTTGCTTGGATGCATGATGCATGCATTGCGCAGAGAAATTAAAGCATACCCATTGCTACCTCGTATCGAAGGTTTCTCCAATATCATTAGTTCTGAGACAGCAGTTTCGTTCAGGACTAGGCCGGCACGCGAACGAAGGAGACGAGTTCCCTATTCACCTGGAAATACCGAAGTGCAGTGATCGGTTCAAAAGATAGCCCCCAAATCAAATCGACTGCGAAATGCAGTGATCGGCATGAAATCCTGCCGTTATGTTAGCTTTATCGGAATCACCTGGGACAATAAGGATTTGAAGCTTCTGATTTCTTGTTCTCAAACGTTCTCCGCACACCGTCCTCTTGGCGAGACCGGCTGCTCATGTCCTAATTAGGCTAATGTTTGTCTTCTCGTAGCAATCTTGATCCGTTCAAAAACAATGTTATGATATTGTTCATTCATTCCACTTGCTGTTGTACGTCCATCACTATCACCAGGCTTTCACGATGTGCAATCCACTTCGCAAATGCCCGTGTTTCAAGCCACACAGGTTTCCCAACGGAGCCATCTACGAAGGCCATTGTTTTTTTTGTTGTATTTTTCGAAGCCTGTGTGGCCACTGCAGTTTAAAAAGTAAGTAACCCTGCTGGGAGAGTTGTTCAGTGGCTATAATTAGTGGATATTGAAAGACTAGAACATGGCTTGTCTTGCAGATGTGAGAGTAACATGGAACAACGAGTTCCAGACCACCCTTATCAAGTCATTTGGCCCTGGATCTCCAGGGCTGCAATGGAGCAGTAGCACAGTGCATTATACTTGCAAAACATACGCTGCAGAACGATTTATGTAAAGGATGTCCGCAGGATTGTTGAGAGATTACAGGGCTGGATCATGTACAAAAACCAACAAAAACCATCATTAATTACCATGATTTATGTTGGAGGCCATCGCTATTTTGTTGGAGTACCCATGCCTTCTACTGTACTTGATCAAAGTCCACCGAGTCGACGTTCAGGTCAGTGGGTGGGACCTGCACGAGAGGGCTATGGAGTGCCCCACATCTCAGGGCCGCAGGTCGCTTGGGACCATAGGGCTTGGGCCCCTCCTTAATCATACCAGGACCTGTCTATGGACCATATTGTCCTTTAATCATACTGTCCATTTTTGTAGGGCTTGGGACTATGATTACTGTCCTTTAAGCGATTTGAGAACAACATCGAGAAGTGGTGGACCCTCCGACCACGGTTATGTATGGTTTCATGCAATATAAGACATGCCGCAGGTGTGTGTGCAGTACATACAGTATTTTTAAAATAAAAACTCAATTTTTCAATCCGGCGTTTAAAGGGTTCTTAGGCCTTACGGTATACGGGCATTTGCCCGGTACCCGTACCCCACTTCTTCTGCAGGGAAACCCTTGGCGCCATCGCAGGTACAGACGTGGCCCGATGGAGCTTGCTATGATGGCCAGTGGGTCAAGGAAGCGAAAGAGCTGCGCCGGTTTCACCGGGCGGTTGAATTATATAGAGTCCATCAGAGCCTTTCCCCGGCACGACAAATGGGATTATATATATATATAGTATATGTATGTATATACACCTACATTGGGGTAGTTTCAGGGCTCAATGTAGGCTATATCAGGACTCAATGTGGGCTCTATATATATATATATACCATGTAGGGTGTTTGGGCATGGGCATATGAATCCAACGTGATCCAGACCAGTCTTTGGTCAGAGAGTGACCGTGATCCATGTGCAGCCGTACAAAGTGCATGAGACCACAGAACTTGGTGTTGTGGCCTGGGAGATGCGGGGGTCTAGCAAAAATGCCGCCTCCCCCCACCTCCGGCTTGGACTCAGATGGACTAACCAAGATCTCTTCTAAGCAGTCTGCCCCATATGGGATTAGACTTGAGAGCATATGAGAGCACGCTTTTAAAAGGGTTGTCAGTTGTCATGATTTTTCCAAGGCCCAGAGATCCCTCGTCGTTCCCCTCCTTTGGTTTGTTCCTCAGGTGTGTTGAGTTTCTTTGTCCGACTACGCAGATCCCTACAAATGACCCACGGTTCTCATCCAAATCATCTTCAATCATCTTCCACATTCTGCAGGACAAAGCACAAGGAATGGGAAAGTTCCAACATGCTGCGGGCGATTGGCCACCCCGACATGCCTTGGAGTGGCAACCTTCAAGGTTGATGATGGACATTGAAGACAAGAGCGGTTTAGCTTATACGCCAGATACAAATAGGACACCTCAAAGTCATGAAGAATGCATGCTCAACCATGAACCTCACACCGCCTTATGAACATGACCGCCTTAGGAAGACCAACTTAGAGTCTTGCGGGTGCTTTGCATGGGCCAAATTGTTCGGGTGTTTGATGTTCGTCCAACGACTCAGCCATGCGGCAAGGCTGCCCTCCCATCAACCAAGATCAACTAAGTTCCATTAGATAGATTATTGGAGATTCAGAAGACTTCACCAGCATCTTGTAGATCAGATGTGGGTATGGGTCAAAGCCTGGAGCCCCAAAACTAGTTGATAGCCTGATTCCTTTGCTTTGTTCCTCTTCGGGATGCCCACATGTGGTTCTTACTGCAGCGCGGTCAGCCAGGTACGAAGGCCAATACTTGGATGATATGCAGCACGGCTACGGGGTTGCCATGTACGTGAAGACCTCAGTTTGACTTGGTGGCGTTCTTGCGCCGATCAGCTGAACGAGCCCCTTCTTCGGCCTTTTTGGAGCACAGATGCATGAATGAGGATA